GGTGCATATCGTGAAGCCTGAGTTCATGCAGTGGAGGATAGACTACGCAACTCCTGAGGGGCTGATGTTACTCGGAGACATAGTGGGGTAGTTCATTCTCTGGCACAAACGGGACATTATATTGACTACTTCTTCGTCGCCTCCCCCTCTCCCAAATTTAGAGCGAGTTGTTGATGATGGGGAGATATTTTCACCGTCTCGTGACCACCACATTCCTGAGATGCCACATTCTTCCTCGCCTTCTAGAGAGCATGTGCCTGATAAGCCACAACCTTCTCCATCTCGTACCGAGCAAGTGCATAATGAGATGCCACCGTCTTCTCAACAAGCACAGCCGATATATGAACAACAAGTGCCTCCTGAAGAAGGTGATGCACAAAAAGATGAGGACGTGCCTGAATGGGAACTTCGAAAGAAGCATCCAATCACCATAAGACCAATTTATGTTTCGATGAAAGACGTCTCGTCGGTGCACAAGTGGTATTCACATGACCAGTTCAAGCCTGAGAACCACGTTAAAAAAAGTCCCATCACGGGCTTCTAAGGAGGCCGTCACTAGCAAACTCCACCAAACAGCAAATCAGTATCTAAATGTTGATGCCATCAAATGGTCAAAGGATTGTCCAAACACATATGAAAGAGGCAAGCCCTTCCTACCAAATCGGGACATCCAACGCCTACCACTTGGAATGAGAATGTTCCATGATTGGTACTTGCGTGTTCTCCTAACGAGCATAGACCTCGTATAAGCATGCTTCCCTACCGACACATTTGGAAGCCCAGCCGGAAAAATTATCTTTGACTTCAATGACATGCAGACATGCTTTCACCTCAGAGCAATGGAAATAAATCTAATTCGCACGTGGTGCCTGTAAGTCCTTGTCCTCCCGATATGATATGAATGTAATCTTTAGATTTTGTTGTAACTAACCCATGCTATGATTTGTAGAATGCAAGTGCACATTGTAAAACAAATGTCAAGTGTGAAAGATGGGTATATAGACCATGAAGCTATAGCACAAATAAATTTTAATTACCCTAGACAGTGGAAACTGGATGACAAAGAGCTAGCTGCTGGAAAGACCCTTTAGGAGAAAGAGGACATCCGTACGAAGAAACTCAGGCAAGAGTCCCTTAAGGTTTCGACATACGTTGCCCTAGCTTTTAAAAATCCCCAACAACACTCTACTATATGGCTACCATCCAACTTCGAGTAAGTTCAACTCTATATTTAAAGCTTTGTTCGATATATTTTATTCAATGCAAAAGAGTTTATCTAGTTTTATGATTAAATCCATACAGCAACCACTGGATTTGTATAGGCGTCGATGTCAAGAGGAGCATGGCATGGGTCTTTGATTCAATAGATAGGGACCCGGTAACATACAAAGACTTCATATCGATTCTCAAGACGTATACATATCGACAATCCTCATTAGCTTATATGATTGTATATATACTTGTAACGTTTACTTTTGGATACTAATAAGTTATATTTGCTAAAATAATTCAAACAGGGTATTTAGGTTCTATGTCACTAAACATCACGGAAGACATGATCCAGTAAGGAAGAAAAGGTTGGCTATAAAAACACTATGTGCGGTAAGTGTAACTTACTTCTTAAGTACTCCATTACATAGCTGTCAAAAGCATTACTTAATATTTCCATATGCAAAACACACAGTGCCCCAAGTAAAAGCCTGGGAGTGTACATTGTGGATACTATGTATGTTCTATGATAAGTAACACCGGTGCCTACAGGAGACACCCCTTAAGGGTAAGTTTGAACATCTTTACCCATAGTATAAAAACTTCGCACGTGGTATGAAATACTAAACCAAAACTTGTTCTCTTGTAGTGGAAAGAAGAGAAAGAAATGAAAAGAGACCCATACAAGGATGACCAACTCTTAGAGCTCGTCGGCGACCTTTGCAATTTCATATTGGACCAGATTGTACACGTCAAAGGCATACCATGACCGAGATTCTAACTTAGGTAGAAATCCTCAGTACCAACACATTCGTGAGACTGAAAGGCTAGCTCTAGGCCGTTGATAACAATGTGTATGAAATTTTACATTGGTCTTACCTTGTGAATTATGTCTATTTAATGATGGATTGTATATATTCTTGTGAATTAGACTTGTAATTATAGTTTATATAATACTCTTGTGCTTGTGGTCAGATTTGAATTATATATGTTCTGGTCAGATTTGAGTTATATATATATATAGACACACACACGTTTTGGTTGAATTTGAATTATAAATTTAATTTTTTTAGCGGAAAAATGTACTATAGGAGCGGTTCTAGACTGAACCGCCCCTACAAACAGGTATTATAGGGGCGGCTGGTACTACAGCCGCCCCTACAAATCGATTTTGTAGAGGCGGCTCACCAGCCGCCGCTACAAATCGATTTGTAGGGGCGGTCTAGGAACCACCCCTACAAATACATGATTTGTAGCCACGCTTTGTTAGGAGCGGCTGGTCAAACCGTCCCTACAAATCATCTGGAGCCGCCCCTACAAAAGGTTTATGTAGTAGTGATGGCTGCTTGGCATATTGATCACGACTTGGTATCGGTGATGAGGAAGCTAAACACATATATATTTACGACAGTGCCCCTGATGTCTGAACAGGATGCGTGCATCTAGACGCCTACGGCTGCACCTCATTTCTCGCGCGCGTCTGCACTCCGTTTCTCCCGCGCGCCTGCACTTTGCATCCGCGTCAGCACACCCCCGTCCGCGCCAGCACGCCCCCCTGCATTTTGCACTCCCATGCGGGGCCACGCCACCCGGACGTCGCCCGCACCGCTAGACCGCGCGCGGGGACCGCTCGTGCCTCCTTCGTCGGTTGTGCCCGCTCGCCGGCGCCCCGGCAGCTACACCTGGTGGCTACAGAAGGTGGGTCCCGTTGCAACATGTGCAACACCTGATATACTTTTGAAACATCCAGATACCGTATTTGAAACATACGTCTGAAGACAGATGAAACAATTGAAACTTGAGTCTAAAACACTTGCAAAAACACTTGAAAACCATTGCAGACATACGTAACATCTAGATAAAACACTTACAACATATGTGTGAAAACATATGCAACATCCAGATAATCACACTTGCACCATGCGTCTGAAAAAATAAATGAAACATTGAAAATGGAAGCTTGCAACATACGTGTACAACCATTGTAATATATATATGAAACATCTCGATCTACTTTTGCAACATTCGTATGAAGCACTTGCAACATCCGTATGAAACATCTGAAACACTTGAAACATACACTTTCAACATGTATTTTCCACCCTTCTTCTTTCGGATGATGTAGAGCAAAGCGGGAACGGTCGGTTTGGTCAGCCGACGGCCGAGGATGGTGGCGCGACCTGGCAGCGGCCAGCTTCTCCTGCGCCTAGACTAGGCCCAACCAACAACGGCCCCTCTCCTGCGCGGCGGTCGATGAGCACGGTGGAGAGGGAGGAAGGCGGCCGCAAGTGCTCGGATGCGGTGGAGATGGAGGATGGAGGAGGGCACGGGGGTGGCGGAGAGTGCAAAGCCGGGAGCGACGTGGAGAGGAGCGGGGACGGAATGCAGATGAAGGCCGTCGGGAGTGCCGGCTTGGCGGTCGGTGCGGGCATCACAGCTGCGGCAACCAGAAGAAACTATGCAACGAGACGAGGACAAAGAGAAATACGTTCATTATTTATTTTAGGTGAACCAGGAGTAGGAGTAGGCCGGGCTGGTCCTGCAGGTCCAAGTGAGCACGTCCGGACGATATATTTAAGAGGTTATATACTAGTATATATTCTAGAGATATGGTGGAGTAATTTAATTGAAAGATTGAAAAGCAATGCGCCTTGCCATGCATCCTAATTGTTTCCGTGAGCAAAAGCAAACGAAAGAGGAAAAGAGTTGGAAGTCCAGGTGTAGCACGATTATTATTTGCTGGCCGGTGGCGTTCATGCGTGGAGGGAGAGCCCAAGATGGAAGGGAACATTGTGCATACGTAGGCCGAATATTTGGTTGCCTCGGGCGCAGGTATCCAGTTTAAGTACTACAAAATTAAAAGACTCCATACCAAATATCCAATTTAAGAAGATATATTTGTAGATAAGAAAAACCTTCAATCCAACGGGAACACACCAACATACGGCATCCTCGTACTGTTGTGCCCAGCGATGAATATAGGACCTCTCGGGTGTTTAATGCGCTTGCTGGAAGCGTGACAGTGGTCGTAATCCATGTCCTTGCTTAGCGGTTCCTTGATGTCTCTTACCACCTCATGACATCCACCTAAAAAAGGCATCGAAAGATGCCCAAACATTATTCAAACGAACCAAACACAAACATAGCAAACAAGGACCCTAAACCATACACACTACTCTCTCCTAAAGCACCACCAGGAGAGGCAAAACCGTGCAATATCAACTTTCAACATAGAGAGAATTTAAAATGCACTCATCTTCAAATCGTGCAAACAATGGCATGTTCGGTTTGCCACACTAAAGGTTAGGCACATACCAAAGCTCTGACATGCATATATTTGCAAAGTAGAGCTATTTGGTTGGTTACCATGTCAAACTAAATTGAGTTGTGGCAAATTGAATGAGGTAAGTATTTGGACTCCTACACTATACCTGCCACAGATTGAAAGCATCTCTATGGTGACAATGCAATTAGCCACAAAACCAGTACAGAAAAGGTCTAAAACCATGTTTATCGTGAAGCATCTCTATCCAACATGGGACATAAGTTACCAATTTTTTCCCTATAAATACAAGGAATTTTATCCATAGAAAAATCACATTGCCTATGCAAGAAGCTACTTATAATCAAAATAATTAGCATATCATCAAAACAACAAGAAACAATCGTCTTACAAATTCCTAAGAGAAATAGAAAAAGGGATGCATTTTATCTCAAATTTACAAATATTTGGAGACAAATAAACATGAGACCAGAACGGGTGGGCAAGAAAGTTTTGAGAGGGGAGCAAGATGGACCAGCACGTAACTGTAAGTTCCTGAATTACTTAAGCAAAAATAAGAAACCACCGCAGCCCACATAATGGGCTTTAAACAGGCACATTTGGAGATGGATAACGAGAAGATAGGCAGCAAATTGACTAGAACCCCATGTAGAATTAATAGAGATATTTGTTAGTTCTGAGAAGTGGCTGCAAAACAAGAGAAAGATTCAGTGAAAAGAGAATGAAAGGGTGAACAAGATGCAGGAGCCCATTTTTCCCTCTATCATGCCAGCTTTACATGGGTGGGTGGATAGCCGTAGCACACTTCTTTCTGCACGTGCGTGTTGCGCCCAAAATTGTGGCGATCAAATCCTCCACCAAAACTTAGCCCCCAGAAAACACCTAACTTTCTTTGGTGCACTACAGTCTGGTAACAGAACAAACAACCTACCTTAGTGTGCCATGACTAACTTGCAGCATCGCAAGGTGTGGAGTCCAACCAAGCAGACCCTATGCTTATCTACCGGAGCCAACAAACTGAAGGTGTTCACAGCAATGAAATCTTACACAAAACATTGTTCCAGCAAAACTTAGTTAAAGAAACAATAGTAGAAAACAGAGACAAACACACATGAAAGTGTTCCACACAAGCCTTAAACAAAAGTAGAGCCAAACGACGTTACAAACATAGAGGTGCGAATCGAACTACTTACCGAAGCAAGAGTCATCGATGGTGCATACATGGAGCACACGCATAGGCTCAGTCAGTGGCGGAGCTCGTGAATCTGATGCCTAGGGCCACTATCTAAGCACCTAAACAACCCAAGCTCAGCCATTCACAGATAATTCACAAAAGTGAACGAAAAGATGCATAATTTAGTGATATATCAATTCCCCGCTTAATCATACAAGAAATTTGGTAAAACAATAACACGGTACAAAATAAGTATGTAACTAAAGTGATTTGCTTCATGCCTTTATCCTCGCCTCCTGTATCTGGATCAACAGCGTGCTACTTAGGCCAGAAACAACTGAAAACAAAGTTGGAAATGAAACATTTAACATTGCATATTTGGAAATTAGGAACAAGTGAACGATGTGCTGACTGCTAGTGCTAGCTTGCTCTAGCCGGGTGTGCCATTGGTCTGCAGTGCAGGAGGCCAAAAGCTGTTGGTCAGCTTGTGCTGTGCGGTTTTGCCTTTGTTGCAGCCTGCAGCAGACAGCAATGTAAGAGTCGCTGGCCCTTGGTCGTCTGCGGCTGACCGCCTGACCCGTCCCTGCAGCATACCGGCGCCACGGACCCTTACCAGCGCCAGCTGTCTCCTGAAGTAGCAGCACCACTGACCATGGTCGCGCCGAGCCCCTGATGTGGCCGTTCCGCCGCTCGATCTGGCCAGGGATAAGCGGCGGACGCTCGTGATTCGGTGTTGGGGTTCTCGATTCAGCGCAACTAGAAGAAAGAAGGGCAACGGGCTGGGGCACTTGGACAAAGTTTCAGCCACCTCGATTGAGCCCTGAGACTTGAAGGGTGCTAAGCGGGGTTTTTGGGCCACGTCTAGGGCCACGGCCCTAGTGGCCCTAGGCCCATATCCGCCCCTGGGCTCAGTACCCTCATATGCCTGAAGATCTGGGATAAGCAAAGGTGCTTTGCTGGGGGGTGGCAGTGAAGTTCACGTGGGCAAATGTCGTGCCATCTGCCTCGGAAAAGCACTTGGAAAGTAAGACCATTGCCATCTCAAACTTATGCTGTGTTATTTCAGTAACAGTTGGTAAGCACAAGATGTATTGCAGAAGCGGTTTGGAGTAAAAACAAGTTACGGAAGCTTGTAAATATACCATCTTCTTGGTGGAGTTATAGTGCTCCAAGGCAAGCATGGCAAAATGGCATGCCTGAGGGCAAACCGGCCATCCAGAACGATCTGCTTCCATCTCCATCTCCTCTGCAGTCAAGTGCTCCTCGCTGCGAGTGGCGTATTTGGTTAATTCAGTTGCATCTAAATGCACTCTAAATGTTACAAGGCTGGGCATGCTAGAATCCAAGACTGCATTCTTATGCAATACACATGTGAAGGTTCTGATTTTGTTGTTATCATCAAATATAGTTATTATTAGGTCCCAGACATCACCCAGGTCTTCCACAGGTCAGGAGATCAAAGAACACACTAGACTCGACTCGAAGGAGATATTGCCACTGCAGATCGAGCAGCGGCTATGGAAAATTTTTGAAGTTGCCCTAATACTTATCAAATTTTCATGCAAAAAGACATGCCAGTAGTCATCAGTGGTGCTTACTGTATGTCGCTGGGTGGTTGATCCTTGAAGACAACGTCCTCGGCCTTGGTGGTGGCAAGCTTACGGTAGACGGCGACGAACTTGGCCTTGAAGGCACGGAAGGCGACCTTGTCCTCCTCGGTGTCGCACAGATCCTCGTCCGCCTCCTCCAGCCGCTTCGCATGTTCCAGCATCTCCCGATGCCCCGCTCCCTCGCCTCCAGCACCTCCTTGGACCCTTCCAGCCCAAATACCAGTTCCAGAGGCTTGGACGGCAACTGCTCTCGCTGCCGCTTGTCGTCTGACCCTCGAAGCAGAGGGACCGGCACAGGGGACCAAAACGCCGGCATGAACGGCAACTTACTTAACCCTGTCGGTACCAAAGTAACCTTCACGGGCTGGCGTGGGATCCTCCTCCATCGTCCGGGCTTCCTCTGCCTCCCTGCCGTCGCCGACCTGGCACCAGGCGACGACCCGCTCCCTGAGAATCCTTCAGGGCCTGAGGCCGCCGCCGAGCCCGGCGGTGCAGTACGTTGCCTCCTTCCACGGGATCGGCTAGGGTTTGGTCTTCCATGTCTAGGTCGGGCTGATCGATCTACCAGAGCTGGAGGCGGGGGCGCCCCTCGGCGTCGCGGAGATGGTGGGAAGCGCGGCGGAGGCGCGGTGAGCGAGGGCGGCGACGATCTGTGGGAGCTTTAGTAATAGCTGAGGCATGATGGGCCTTTTCTTTCTCGATGAGACCCAAAGAAATCTTAAAGGAAGTTCTATTTGGATGAGCATTCAGCCCACTAACTCCAAGTCCAAAAATCTTTTGGCCCATAGTCATTTTCACACTTTTCCTCTCCACACACACAAGCAAAAACCCCGACCGGAGCACACGCGCCGCCGCCGCGCCGCCGCTAAGCCTCCTTCACATGCCCGCCGCCACCGCCGACAAGCGCACGGAGGCCCTTCCACAACCATAGGCTGCCGCCACGCTCCCCCGCCATGAGACCCTGCCCCACTTCGGATGCCCTTTCGACCACACATCCCCCTCCGCCTCCTCCTGCCTCACCTCCAGCACCGCACTCCCCGCCCACCCAGACCTCCACATAGACCGCTCTCCTACTCTCCCGCGGCGGCGTTGTCGGCGGCTGGAACAGAGTCCGAGGAGGAGGCGGTTGTGTGTAGGGACGCGCCACTAGCCCCTCCCCCTGCAGGCGGGGCGGGAGGTGGACAGCCTGGGCGTGGCTGGGCACGGCAGGGGGCGCTCGATGAGGACAGGGCGGAGCTCGAGCGGAAGGCCTCTATTGCCGCACGGTTCAGGCACTGCCATGAGCTTCTGTGGCAGACTAGGTGGCGGGAGATGCGCGACGGGTTGGCCCAGATGGTAGACGAACAAGGTGAGCTCGGTGTGAGTGCTTGACTGCTTGTGTTTGTATATCTAATAAGTAGCTGTTGCTCTTGCCGCGAACATGAAAGCACAGTTATTCATCAATCCTAGCTGCAATTGCCATGCTATTCCCTTAATTTTTGTCTGAAGGGAACAGTATTTGCCGAGACTGGGTTGCATTTTTCGTGCTGTTAATTATATTTTGATTAAATCTAGGATCATCTGTTAATATACTGAAATTCCTATCCTGGTAATCGTATTTGTTTGAAATTTGTGATCAACCGAGCTGCAACTTTCATGCTGCTAGAGTGCTAGTTGTATATTTGGTGGAAGTGTGAAGAGACAAGCTATGTATCTAGACATGGCATATATCTAGGTGCATAGCAAAAGCTATGTATCTAAAAAGCCAAAACGACTTACAATTTGGAATGGAAGTAGTAGTAGTTTTGTCTGCAGAAAGCAAACTAGTAGCAGGATCACTAGCGTGGAAATTTTGCAGATTGTCACTTAGTGTATGCATAGGTATTCTTTCACATGTCTTGAAAATGGTAGTATTTGTATCTCAATGCATGCAACCACAAAAAACATTTAAACGTAACCTTTTTCTGCATTCAATTTTACCATATCTTTTGCTGTAGGTTCTGATTCTGCTCCGACTCTATGTGATATTCTGTGGAGTGGATTCAGGGAGTGGGATTCAAGCAGCATTGTGTGGGATGCTCTAGCAAATAGTTATGCTAGAGCTCAGATGAATCATGATGCTCTTTATGTTCTTAGTAAAATGAGCAGCCTAAACATGCAAATCTCAATAACCACCTATGACAGTTTGTTGTACAGTCTAAGAAAGGCAGATGTGGCACTGGAGATTTTTAAAGAGATGGAGTCATGTGGTATTCCCCCCAGTGATTATTCCCATAGCATTCTCATAGATGGCCTCTGCAAGCAGGATAAAATTGGAGAAGCTTTATCTTTCCTTCAAGAGATTAGGAAAGAGGGGAAATTCATACCCTTGGGAATGACCTTTAACACCCTCATGTCTGCATTGTGTAATTGGGGGTTCATTCAGGATGCAAAATCAGTTTTCTGCCTGATGTTGAAGTATGGATTAAATCCGAGCAGGCACACATATTCAACCATTATACATGGTCTATGTAAAATAGGTTCTGTACGTGAAGCATTCAATATTTTTCAGAGTGTGACAGAAGAAGGAATGGAACTTGATATTGTCACTTGCAACAGCCTTATTAATGGCTTTCGCTTGCATGGTCATACAAGAGAAATTCCAAACATGATTGAGATGATGAGGGGCCTAGGTGTCGAACCCGATATTGTTACTTATACTATACTTATTGCTGGCCACTGTGAAAGTGGTGATGTTGAAGAAGGGATGAAGATACGAAAGGACATCTTAGGCCAAGGTATGGAGCTGAATATTGTCACATATAGCGTCCTTATCAATGCTCTCTTCAAGAAGGGCCTGTTCTATGAGGTCGAAAACCTACTTGGTGAGATATGCAGTATTGGTCTGGAATTGGATGTCATTGCATATTCCATCCTAATCCATGGGTACTCCAAGCTAGGAGAAATTGGAAGAGCACTTCAAGTCTGGAATCTAATGTGCTGTTCTCAGAGGGTAACTCCAACTTCAGTAAACCATGTATCTATTCTTCTAGGCCTTTGCAAGAAAGGATTCCTTGATGAAGCAAGGTCATATTTGGAAACTATAGCTAGCAAATATCAGCCATCCGATGTAGTCCTCTACAATGTAGTTATTGATGGTTATGCAAAAGTGGGTGATATTGGTAATGCTGTTCAGCTGTATGATGCGATTATTATGGCTGGTATGTGCCCAACCATTGTAACATGCAATTCTCTTCTATATGGTTACTGCAAATTTGGGGATCTGCATATGGCAGAGAGCTATTTTACGGCTATTCAGTTAAGTGATCTGCTGCCAACAACAGTTACATACACCACCTTGATGGATGCACTCTCTGAAGCTGGGAAAGTTCATTCCATGCTAAGTATTTTTAAAGAAATGACTGGAAAAGGTATCAAACCAAATGCAGTAACTTACAGTGTAGTTATTAAAGGACTTTGTAAGCAGTTCATGTTCCATGATGCCAAGAATGTTCTTGATGATATGTGTAGAGAAGGTTTTGATGCTGATCCAATACCTTACAACACGCTTATACAAGGTTTTTGTGAAACACAGGATGCCAAAAATGCTTTCTGTGTGTATGAACTAATGGTATGTCGTGGAGTGATGCCCACACCTGTTACTTATAACTTGCTTGTTAATGTGCTGTGCTCAAAGGGACTAGTTATTCACGCTGAAATGAAACTGGAGTCCTTCAGAAAACAGGGTGCCAAGCTGAGAAAATTTGCATACACAACACTTATCAAAGCTCAATGTGCAAAAGGGATGCCTTACAAGGCCATTATGTGGGTTGGCAAGCTTCTAGATGCAGGGTTTGAGGCATCTATTGAAGACTTCAGTGCAGCAATCAACCGATTATGCAAAAGACAGTTCACCAAAGAAGCTTTGATGCTCATACCGATCATGCTATCTGTTGGTGTTTATCCAGATATTCAACTATACCGTGTACTGGGTACAGCTGTACAGAAGAAAAATGAGTTATTCTATTTACCCATATTGCAAGCCCTTGCTATAAAAACTGGTATTTAGTACTTTGAACATGTAAGTGAAACTGCCTGGTCACTGTTCTTAACAAGCCACATCGCACAGGCTGACTAACCCCTTTTGTATTTTGTATCCATGTTTGTTGCTCTGCAGCTTGCGGTGTTCAGTTGCAACATCTGCCATGTTTGAATAGATGGGCATTTAGGCCTGTTGCCCACTGTCAATCGCTGGGTCAGTAGGATTGTGCCAAAGCACAAGGTTAGCTAAAGTTTTGACATCCGTTTACACCTTTACATGATGTGATCAGTATATTTTACCAAGAATGCTAAGATCCTAAGATCATAGTTTGTATTTGGTTTTACCACATGTTCTTGTGCAATTAGTGCCAATGAAAATGTACTTAACTTAAGGTTAACATTTTGGTACTATCTATTATCTTTCAGTTACATGTTTATGATACTGATTCTTATCATGATTTCTGAATTCAGACTTTACTATCACTAGATTTCACTGGCTTGCCAAACTATTGACCTTGTGCATGTAAAGCACATGTTCATGCAGGCAAATGCATGCATCAGCTACGAGCTATCCGGCTACACCTGCACACAAGCAAATATTTTGCCTAGTTATATGTGTCATGAAATGACTTGTTTTGTTTGAAAAAATAAAGAATTGTTACTTTGCTAGTTTGCTTATTCTTTAATCTTTTACCAAGCAAGATGAGCAAACGTGAACTTGTATTTACGGTCCAATGGTGATGCAGATATTGTGCGGAAACTAACTTGTTTCTTTTGGTAGGTCAAAGATATCTTTTCTTTGGCTGAATTTATCTTTTAGCCCTTACTTGACTCTTTTCATGTTTTCATGTGCTGTCGTGCTGATAATGGCCTGGTAATGGGCCGTCAAGTTCTAAGGGCTGAACTTGAATCCTAACTCATAGGTTGTTTCTTTTGGATCATGTATGGGCTCTTCAAAGAAAGGGGCTGGATTAGATCGGATTTTATGTTAGAAGGATTGGATTCTTGACGTGGCCCCACGTAGCCGCATGGATCATTGGAAAGGGCTGGCCCTTGGATCGGAGTTTCGTCGCAGCACCCAGCACATTAGCCTGCCAGCACTAGGGTTGAGCGGAGGCGGCGGTGCTGTGCATCACTGTGAGGCGGTGGCACTGCACATCGCTGTGAAGTGGATTGCTCCTCCATCCTCTCCAAGATCCTGCACCAATCAGGGGTTTGGGTGAACCCCTGAGGATGGTGGTTGCCTTGAAGATCCCGGTACCATTGCTTCTTCGCTACTTGGCATCTCCACCGCCAGTAACCGACCCAGGTACGTACCATTCCTCCCCTGGTCTTCTCTATCATTCATCCTTCCTCTCTCACAGTTACTCATGATTCACTGATGCCCTGCATGTTTCACAGCTCTCCAAAGTGTTTGCTTCAAACATGGACCAGGGAACGAATCTAGCTGCCTATTCTTGACCCTTCGCATCCAAGGAGGAGCAGGCAGGAACTCCGGCATACGGTGGTCCTTGGCGGCACCTTCGAGCGCCTCCATGACGGCCACCGCGCCTTCTCAGAGTTTACTTGGATGCAGAGCAAAGCAGGAGAGATGATTTAGAATCTCTCGGTTATGTTCTTATGTACTTCCTTAGGGCAGGTTTGGTTGTCATCAATCTTTTCACCCGTCTGTTGTAAACATGTAATGGTTCCACGCATGCTTCTGTGAATGGATTTAATATTTCATTGGTCCGTCTTTGAACAGCCTACCATGGCAGGGGCTGCAAGCAGGACCAAGAAGCAGAAATATGACAAAATCAGTGAGAAATAGATGCTTACTCCCGTGGAGATGGCTCATAAATTAACTCTTGATAATTCATTTTTTTTATGAGAACTGCAGTAGGCAGACATTCATAAATTCTTTATTATGGGTTAGGTACTCTGCAAATTGTATCCATCAGAGTTTATCTCCTACTTCCACTATTCTCGTTCATCGTGGTTTGTAGACAAGCCTGATTATTCTTACCTGGAGATTATTGTGTGATCTCTTTATTCGGGAAGGTGTGATTTTGGTGCACATGTTTATTATTCTTTTCGCATTTTCTACTAGGACATCCTGTAATTGGTATTTCTAATGGTGTTGCTAGTGCGGGATACCAGTCTGACTATGTGTTTGACTGTACCATTTTGAAGTATCCTCAGGCTGCAACCCGGCGGATGGGGTATGTAGTCGTCTCGTCTATCTGTTTGATGTACATTTTGTAGTTTGTTGGACTTATCAATATGTTTGTCATTGTCTTGTCAAGTGAAAGAACTAGTGGAGGTACTGGACCTTCAATGGATAAAGTGTCGCCTAACCTCACCTTGCCCTGCCGGCGCAACAACAAGAGGCTCGCCCAGGTCAGCGAGCCATTTTGGCTCTCCCTCAAAAGCAAGAGAAATCTTGCTAGCACAGACCCCGAGACAGGCAGGCAAGAAAACCAAACAGCTAGACTCGCTCAGAAATCTCGCTTGGCAAGGCAGCACAGTGCAGGTTCAAGAAACCAAACACGCCCAAAATTAAGAAGACCACAGGTTTGTGCTTCTGCTCTTGAAAATTTGTGTAACAAATCTATGATACAAACCGGACATATGTTTGAGAATGCATGCTCCTTTTTTGTGCAGGAGAGGCGCCCAGTAGAAGGAATCCTAGTGGTTCTGTGAATCCGAGTGGCAATTATGCTCAACAACCACATGAGACCGTATCTATGTCATTAAAGGAAATTGTAAGTTAAACTTCCTTCCACCCCTTGTATGATCTATGAACATTCAGTGTTGTTGTATCTTTCCTCATGCAGTTCTCACATATCTCATGAGCTTTTCCTGCACATTTTGTGTTACTTGTAGCTGTACCTGCACTCTTGCTGTACAGGATAATATGTAGCCGCACTCCTGTATAGAAGTGGTTGAGGACAATCTGATAAAAATTAGCAGTTGCTAGAACTATTTGTGTTTTCCTTGATTTATGCCCCGTTGTCCTGGATAAAAGAACTTTGTCAAGGACTGTACAATTCCTAGATGGCAAGCTGTCTGAACTATTATCATAGAGCAGTTCCATTTTCTAGCATTGATTTGTGTTTTTGCACGAACACCTGTGTCATGTGTGGCAGATTAGTTGTTTTAGTTTCTTTTCCTCTATAAATTTGTAATAGGTAGCAACTCATCACGTTATAGTGTTCTACACAACCATTTAATCAGCTGGTGATTGCTTCCAATTTTGTCTTATCTTCCTTATGTGCACAATTCTCTTGCTGAAGACCAAACCTTCTAATCACAGTCAATATTTGTTGCTGCAGTGCAATGTGTGAAAAGAAAATTGTTGTTCCTCGGTTGAATCCCCGGCAAAAAGAAGAAACATAACAACAGCTGTTGACTGTTGAGATCCCTAATTAATTTGTTCTTCATCGGTTCATTCCATAAGGTCTTGTGATGTACTCCGTATTTGTGAACTTCCTGTTATATATATATATATATATATATATATATATATATATATATATATATATATATATATATATATATATATATATATAGAACTATTGTTCTGCAGCTGGCCATAGAATAACTTATTCTGTGGCCACTTTGAGTTACGATAATTACCATGCTAATTTACGAAATTACAGTAACTCCTTACTAGGTGATTTACTGTAACATTATCGTAAATATCACCGTGAGTTGTAGTAACACGAGTATTGTAAATGCATATTCATGTTATCGTAAATTGGTACAAATATTATCGTAAATCAAGGTGACGATAGAATAAGTTATTCTATGGGCAGCTGCAGAATAGCCTTACCCTAGACGTATATATATATACAGGGGCGGATATGGGCCTAGGGTCACTAGGGCCGTGGCCCTAGACGTGGCCCAAAAACCCCACTTAGCACCCTTCAAGTCTCAGGGCTCAATCGAGGTGGCCGGAACTTTGTCCCAGTAATTCTTCGTGCCCCAGCCCAGCAACAGCCTGCCCTGTCTTCTCTTCTAGTTGCGCTCGTTCCAATCGAGAACCCCAACACCGAATCACGTAGCGTCCGCCGCTAGCTTTGGCCAAATCGAACGCCAGTGTTCCTCTGGCCAAAATCGAGCGGCGGAACGGCCACATCAGGGGCTCAGCGACCATGGTAAGCGGTGCTGCTACTTCAAGGAGACCGGGCAGCCGGTGGCGCGCTGCCATATCGAGGAGCTGGCGCTGGTAAGGGTCCGCGGCGCCGGTATGCTGCAGAGACGGGTCAGGCGGTCAGCCGCAGACGGCCAAGGGCCAGCGACTCTTACATTGCTGTCTGCTGCAGGCTGCAACAAAGGCAAAACCGCACAGCACAAACTGACCAACAGCTTTTGGCCTCCTGCACTGCAGACCAATGACACACCGCCGCGGCCGGCCAGAGCAAGCTAGCACTGGCAGTCAGCACATCGTTCACTTGTTCCTAATTTCCAAAAATGCAATGTTAAATGTTTCATTTCCAACTTTGTTTTCAGTTGTTTCTGGCCTAAGTAGCACGCTGTTGATCCAGATACAGGAGGCGAGGATAAAGGCATGAAGCAAATCACTTTAGTTACATACTTATTTTGTACCGTGTTATTGTTTTACCAAATTTCTTGTATGATTAAGCGGGGAATTGATATATCACTAAATTATGCATCTTTTCGTTCACTTTTGTGAATTATCTGTGAATGGCTGAGCTTGGGTGTTTAGGTGCTTAGATAGTGGCCCTAGGCATCGAAATTCACGAGCTATATATATATATATATATATATATATATATTCTCGTGTACGTGTAGTTTTTTGTGCAGCCATGCACTATGTGCGGCTGCTTAATTCACATGCGAGAGCCCACGAATTCAGGTACACATGTGGCTTGCTTGCTTGTCTGGTGGTGGTGGGCAACGCTTGCTGTGATGGCCCTTGTTCCTAGAGTAGGATCAGCCTGTGGGCTCAAAGAGGGTCAGAGGTGTGTTAAGGATGGTGTAACTTTAAGGGCCAGAATCGGATTGAGCTGAATGAAATCAGTC